GATTTATTGTTCATTTTTTTCGGAATTTTTTTCGGTACTTATTTTTTTTACGGATTCCTTTTTTTTCTTTCCTTATCCTTTTTCTTTTCCCCCAAATTTTATTTTTCGCTTTTTTTTTCAATTTTCTTCATTGTTATTTTTTTTTCCCAAACCACATTCTTAAACCATTTAGATTTGGATCGGTGATCGGATTGACGCTGTAGCACTACGGTAATCGCCTTTTTCCCGATTCTTATTATTATTATTAGTAATAATATTTTCCCTAATTAATTTTTAGGCTCAATATAAATAGACTGACATGTAATTTATTTATTTATTTTTTGTAACAATAGATCGGTTTAATAAATTCTATGGGAAATTGTTTTTTTCATGACAATAGATTGTTATAATTGGGGAATTTTTTTTTTTTCATAGCAATAGATTGTTATAATTGATTTTTGGGGATTGTGAGATATTTTTTTGCTAACCGATCACCGCCTGGGTTTTTTTCCAAATATGTCACATGATGTACAAATTTATGATGGCTGATTTTTTAACTTAGCTATTTTGATCGGTTAAACTTAAAATTTTATTGCGAAGATATTTTTTTAAAAATTTTTTTTGCATATTTATTCAAAATAATCTTATTTAATGAAATTTTATTTGCAAATATTAAAATTTAAGCCACACATTTACGATTTTAAAGAAAAAAATCACCGTATTTAAACAATAACAATAAATAAAAAGATAAATAAATTATAATGACCAAGGAGAAAGATTCTAATAAAAAAATGAAATAACAATGGAGTAATGGAAAGTAATAGAAGACGAAAGAGAAAAAAAGAGTAATGAGAAGTTATAGGAAACAAAAAGGAGAAATAGGACATGATGAGAGATGAAAAGTAGTGATGGGAAACAAAAAGAAGTGATGGGAGACGAAAAGGAGTGATGGGAGACGAAAAGAAGTGATGGGAGATGAAGAGGAGTGATGGGAGACGATGAGAGAGTGATGGGAGGTAAAAAGGAGTGATGGGAGACGAAAAGAAGTGATGGAAGACGAAAAGGAGATGAGAAGATGAAGAGGAGTGATGGGAGACGTGTGTTATTATTACTCTCTTTATTACTCTCTTACTTGATGGGCAAGTATCATTCCCGCCGCAACGCGACGGGTTACGCCTAGTTATTACTAAAAAAAAATGAATTTATCATTATGATAATTCATATTAGAATATTCACGCGTATGTACTAACAGTAAGAATATGATTTTATTTGAACATTATGTAATATTTTACGCGATTTAAAAAAAAAATGTTTTGCCAATACTGGTTCTGAATATGAAAACTATGCACTATCAGTTTACACGAACTTTCCATAAATGTTACAATTAAATTATCGCGTTATGCAGTCTGTAATCATATGTTTACAACCACAACTCTAAGTACTCAAGTGAAAGGGGATACTCTAGAATACGAAGTTAAGAAGAAGTTTGAGGAGATAAATGTTATAGTATACGGCGTAAAGTGAGTGTTTCGTTGAGTTGTTGGATATGTTATCAATGCATCCACGCACTGGGTCACATATTACATTGGTATTTCACAGATGCATTCCGTGGCTCCAGATATTTATCTGCGTTAAGAAGCAGAGGTTATGTACTGTACCTTGCTCTCATGTTTTCATGAAATATTGAGAGAAACTACTTTTATCTGGTGGTTTCACAGCAAAATATGATATGGCTATACTTGTTACTTCAGATGAAGTTCATAACCGTATTGAGTCTGGTGGTACCTGTATATATAGGTCATACTATGTTTTGTGGTGGCGTGTGGTCGAACAACCGGGCCTAAAGTGTTATCATGTTATGCTGTCCTATAGATGTGTCCATCCTAAGGCATCCTTGAGTCCATTCTGTATGGCAACAATGATGATACAATTCACTCATTCATTTTATTTATTTCAGAACAAGTTACAAGACTGATAAGGGTAATATCCTATCGGGGGATGCAATCTCAAACACGTTATAGAAGAATGTAAACTCAAAGATTCTTACAGAAAGTTTTATAAAAGAAATGAATCTACCCGCAAATCAAAAAAATAAAAAAACGTATACAACACGGCATTTCCTTACGGGCGCACGGTTAATTACGATAGACAAGGTGTACTTAATAATTTTAAACAAAAATCCAATGAATAAAGTAATTTGTATACAAAACCTACATTGAAAAGGAGATTATTCAACCTATCAAAGTTCAATTGTAAATAACGATCATACTCAAGATCATGCATCAGATATTCAAAGTAAAGACACTCCTTTAAGTAAATCGTATACTTTATTTAGTGAAATTCAACTACTAAAACAAGAGGTATTGCAGTGGTATTACAGTTGAAAGAAACAAATAAACAACAGCAAGACGAAATATATAGTATGAAAAAGGAAATAGCAACCCATCACGTCTACTTTAACAACACCATCTGTACATGTAAATTTAAATAATTCTGATGAAGAATTTTTGGATCGTGAAGATGATTTTGTTGTAGATAGAGTCGTTCCTCATGATAAATTACACACTTGTTAAGTATGGAGATCACCTAATTTATGAAGGTTTAAAGAATGATAAGTCTAAAGCAATGATCGAAAAATCTCTTTTTCAAAAACTTGACTATCAAAAACAACTAGTATTGTATGAAAGAAGAAGCGATGGTTATTGCACTTGAAAGATATCTTATTCCAAAGATCTTGAAGGATCAAGAAACTTCTTACAGTTCAGCGTTCATTAGAATTTGCACTTCTTTGACTAAAGACTGGTTTCGCCAATTTGCTATCGATAATTACCTTCGGCTTTCAAATCTTGATAAAGATTTATTGTCAATTGTTCATAACTTAACCAAAAAATAATCCACCCTCACATCATGAACTAGCTGAGCCAATAAAATTGCTTCATAAATGGATACTTGACCCGGAAATTCGGACTATTTTTGAGCCTATATACGCTTGTACTAGTCGTATTTATGATCTTGATACCCCTAGTATTTCTCAAGGGATGCAGCTCGAGACATATAGATCTGGAATCAAGATTACTTCTCCAGTAAACAAAAATATATCAATTGCTGCTATCATTACAACTGTTTATATGGTTGACTTTGAAGATTGCAACCCAGGATCTGATTAGTGGGCATCTATTTCTATCCTGATTTAAAATGTTCAAGTGACGAGTATGATAGGGAGACTTATGGCAGTTATTATGATTCACTACATCATCATCCTTTTGATCATAATATTATTGGGAATCGTGGATTTATATTGATCAACCACGTGCAAACGTTTAGAACTTCCTTCTAAGCACATACACTTGAAATTGGTTCAAAGACTAGTGGTGATAGTTGGAGTGTGGCTGAGGATATTTGGTATTTACCAAAAATTCGTGCTAAATCAGCTGATCATCAACAAAAAGTTGAACTCTCAGTGTTATCCAGAAATGAATAAAAATCAAAACCAAATTTTCACTCTTATCCAACACATGAATCAAAAACTTGATTACGGTGACAACTAAATCATAAACAAGATCCATGGCTTCTCCTTTATTTTTTTTTAATTGCCAATTTTTGAGAACTTTTTCACCTAGCTCGGCAAGAATTTCAACATCATCTAGGTAATTCGTCATAAATGTGATGTTAGCTTCAGATGAATATACTCAAGAGACGTCATCAGTACAATTTAGTAAAGATATATATCTATTTGACACACAACACGTTTCATATTCGTCAATAATAATTCTTTCAATATCCATTGGAAGTAATACTTTTGATAATTCCTTATGGCTGTTTCACCAAAAAAATGGTCCATCCTCACTTTTATTTAGAAAAAATTGCTCGTGAGTTGTCTTGTTTCTTTCCATAAATTGTTCCAATCTATCATTAACCCAAAAGCAACACATTTGTATCTTTCTATCCTTTGTGATCCACCATTATTAATATGTCTACAATCACATCATATCCATTTCTTGGTTCAAAAAATTTATATTCGTCAATTTTTTTCTTTCCTTCGTATGCAACTATATGAGTACTTCCGGTTCCTGAATAATGAAGAACTTTCCGGAAGTAATAGATTCTATTTAATACATATGATTTTCGGGTAAAGAATGTTTAATTTTTCTTGAATTCTTTCAAGTGTTTTTCCATTAATATCATAATGAGTGATTTTTCCGTATGAAGAATTACTTCTACATCTGAATTTGTACAAAAAGTTGTTCAATATCGATCCGAGCATTCTATTTATTAAAATCAACGAGATTCAACAAAAAAAAAAAAAAAATTTCTCTCTCTCTAATCAATAAACTTTCATTATGTTCATCTGCTCCAAGAAAATTTCAATGCAACACTGAATATGTTTCATAATCCATGACAGCAGCAGACGCGATACGAATACATGATCGAGTAGAATAAATTACAACTTGTTCTACAATATAAGTACTAAATCCATAAATTGTCATTAAAGTTTTTGAATCATTAAATAAAATTTGTTATTCAATTTTAATAGGATTATATTGTAAATTTGTAAACCTACATCAGTGGCAGTTGATGGATGCAAATTATCAAATTTAATGTTGTTTTTCAGAAGTCATTGTTGCTATGTCCTATTGTGATGCTATAAATAATTTTTTTGATATTATAACCGTTTTTTTAATCTTCCATTTTCCAGTAGAATTCGAATATAAGTGAGCTATCGGATCAATTCCAAATACCATAAATAAATCATTTGTTCCATTTACAAATATTCCTTTATCTTATACGTGAAATTTCTTTAACAAAATAAATATTATTCCCAACAGGATTTAATTTAATTAATTTTTTGAAATATTATAGGTTCTGAATCTTCTACTAAAACATGTTTATGATTAGAACTTACATAATCTTTTCTGATTTATATTCAGTATCATAAACAAGTTATCCAAATTTTATTTTCATTGACCGGCCAACCTACAACTGAAGAATCATCCCTACTAAATGTAATTAGATAACTCCTTGATATTTCTTTTCCATGATGTGGAGGTTTAGAATTATCAAATTTCGATGAAATACTAGAAATGTTACTTCATTTTTTTTCTTTATGAATCGAGATTACAATCTTGTAATATATATTACACTAATTATATATAATAAAAGAATATATTTTTTTTCCTTTCTTTTTTTTCTATTTGATAAGTCAAATAATCTAAAATTAGTTGAATTTATTGACAAAAAAGTTCACAACTTAAGCGGGCATTGTAACAAATGGGTTCACTAAGCACTCGTCAATGCATGTAATATTCGTACTTTTACGTTTAATACCCTATTTTTAAGAGTTTTTTTTTACAATTTTTTTGTTATACGAGCCTTAATGCCTTATATGTCAGCCAATAGACTCATTCACAATGAACCTAAATTTAAAATATTGTTTAAAAACGCCAAGAGATAAATATTTTCAGATTAATGAATTAATTAATTGTTTTTAAGAAATATTGGCTCTTACTGCCTCTTAGGCGTTGGAATTGAAAATCGAATCTTTCAAGTTTCTAATCCCTAATTGGTTCAATTCAATTTTAGCAAAAAAAAGTAAATATCATCAATTAATTATTTAATTATTCAAGTAATGAATCGTATCATCGCGCCACTACATCTAGTTATAAGGCAATGTAATCATGTACACTTTTAAAATATATCCCAATTTTAATATTTTAAAATTTGTTTATTTGTTAAATACAGTATATATTACAAAGTTCTAAATTATTTGGAATTAAATATTAAATATTGTCAAATTAATAAATAATATATTAATTAATGACGCAATACTTTTATTATTAAATTAATAGACCGCCATAGACTAAAATATTATTAATATCTTTAATGAATATACGTCATTACGAGAAGTTTATTAGGACTAAGCGAAAAACCTAAATACCGGCCAACGTATTAGAAATGTCCTTTACAAAGAAAAAATCCAAATTTAACTTCTACTATTCTATATAGATAGATAAAATATTTATTTATTCGGCAGTAATTTCCATAAATTTAATCTTTGATTTTTCATAAAAGTTTCTTGTAACTCTAAAAAATATTAATATTGGAAATATATAAAAAGTATACAGAAGTGATTTGATAACTAAATAAAGAATGGACAAATCGTCATAAATTATTAAAGTATAAATTTTTAGTTAGTATCTACAAGTTTATTATAAAAATTTAAATTACATATATTTACTACTCACCTCTATCAAATATAATTCTTGGCAAGTATGAAGAGGAAGATTTCTCGGATCATAAAATAATGTCGCCTTTGTCTAAGTGAAATAGATATTTCATAAATTTTTTATTTGATTTGCTTATTTAATAATAAATAACTAACCTTTTTATTTTCTTCATTGTCATCATTAATCGTTTTAATTTGAGTTTCTTGCTCAAATAATTTAGTAGTTAAATCTTTTATTATATTTTCAAGATTAGTTATATGTTCAAGTTGTTCTTTTTGAGTTTTTATCAATGACTCAAAGATGAAAGGTTTTCGAGTTCAGATGATTGTTCATTAATTTGTTCTTCAAGTGGCTTATTTAACGAAAGAAGTTCCTTATCAGAAAGGTGAAGTTCAAGTAACTAAAGAAAAAATAAAATGTTTGTTAAGCTTTTTATTTGAATTTAGAAACATAATTACAATTTACCTTTCTCTAAATATTTTCATCGTCTGTCATATTAATTAATTCTTCTATCTCTTCATCTTGTTCTTCTTTCTTTTCTTCTTCATTTTTACTAGATTATCCTCATCATCTTTATTCAATTGAGCAAAAGAAGAGACTTTCCTTTGTGGTTCAACAAAAACCTTTGGTTTATGTTTTTGTATTGTTGATTTATAACCTAGTACCAGAATAAGAAGTACTTTCATCAGTTGGTTTACGTTGATATAAATTTCCTCCGTAAGAAGGATATCCGGGATTATCATAATTAGAAGCTTCTGTTCTTAATTCTTTAGGTTGCTAAGTTACATCTAACATAGTCTTTGGAATTCCTATCTATGAATTAAACCTTGGATTTCTAATTATAGGGTTAATATGCCTAGAAGATACTACTTTATCATTATCTCTTCCTTCATACATGATTTCCAAACGAGAATCGAATGATTTTGTACTCCATTCATTGTATTTGTATAACGACAAGAAGGTTGCATTATTATTAATATAAAAAGATAATTTAGGTGTAAACCCTTGACCTTCTATAATAAAATTAGGATTAATTTTTACGGTCGGACTTTTTACTTGCCGTGATGATTGCTGTTGTTGACATGGATCATTTCCCCAGGAAACATCTGATCGAATATCTGAACGATTATAACTTTGTTCCTCAGTTGTCATCATATTGTTTTAAATTATTTTATTTTGATTTTTTATTTCTAAAAGAAATTTCTGATTGTGAATAATTTTCATTTCCTGCTCTACCTTCTAACGCTCTTAAATTAGAATGAAATTCAAAATTATTAAAATTTGAAATAATATTCGTTGCGTGAGGCTTTTTATTTATTATAGATGGCGCTTTGTCATCCCGATTATCATTTACATTATTGACAAACTTGTTATTCTTATTTTGGATATTGGATTTTGGCTTAACCGGTTTTCTCTAGTAACAGAATCATCTGAGTCACTACCTGTTGTTTCGTCATCTATATCTTCGGAACTATCACTTCCTTCATCTTCTGTTGAAAAAGATTTTATCCTAGGCTATTAGTTTTGAAAAGCAAATCCCGCAGCACCTAATATGGATGAAGGTTTTGTCAATTGTTGAGGATTAGTTGCTGGTAATGAATCTTTATTTCCAGGATTTTTTAAAACACGTTAAAAGCCTTTTTTTTTTAAAAAAAAAAATGAAAAAAATGATATAATTGAAAAATTATTTTAGGAGAACAAAAAAGAAAAAAAATATATATTTTTTTCAAAAATTTTTTTTTTTTTATAAAAAAAGGAGGACCTTTCGACCTTTTGTTATACTATTATATATAATAACATTATTTTCATGGCGGACCTATTTTACAATTTCGTAGTTGATTTACAGATCACTACAATTTTATAGCAACTATTTATTGTTGTACTTATTTTTTTTCATAAAGAAAAATCCTATTTCGTTTTTAGTTAATTAAAAAATTGTTATTTTTGTTATTTTTGTCACACCTAAAATAATTTCAGCCTATTTATGATCAATATACATTTCTCTAATAAATAACAATTTTGATATTTTTGATACTAATCCCCAACCGAATAATAATAATAATAAAACAACCCTTGATTTTGTTGTTATGTGTAAATCACGCGAAATAGTCTGAGCGAAATTCACATTGTCTCCTTTCTCAATAAGTTCAATAAGCATTAAATAGATGGAATTTCTTTCTTAAGTTTTTTTTTCTATTTTGACAAAAAATTGATATCATGTGATATAAATAAGAATTTCTCAAAGAATATCACATGATTTGCAATAGCCTATTGATTACGTTATTACGAATATTACGTACAGTCGGTACAGATGCAGGTTATCCGATACGTATATCGATTATCGATATATCTGATTTAGAGAATTATCACGGACTTTGCAGACTATGCATATGATTCATGATAAGAACTTATTCCTTTTTTTTAAAAAAAAAACTGTAACGCATCTCTTTATTAAGGATAGATAATATCCAATTTCAGAAATACCTAGAAATCGTTCGTGCGACACGAGACGAAAAAGAAATAAATAAAAATACAAACCTGTAAAAACTAAACCAATATTGGACCTAACTAAATTAAACTCTACTAAAAACCTAAAAGATAACACTAAACTAAACTAAGAAACTAAAATTAAGAGAAGCTCTCGCTAATCTAGTAAAAAAATGCTAACTAGTGTATATATGTTGACCTCTTCCCCACATTTAGTTCCTTATCTTTTGTTATTTCTCCTAGCTAAAAACTTGCATCTTTTTTTTATTGGAAAATTTTTTACGCGAAATCACGTGACTTAGATTATAAGATGCCAGTTTCCAAATTCTTCTTCTTGTCTTCTTGTCTTCTTTTTTTCCTCCGACTCTTTCGGTTTTCGCGGTGATGGTGACTCTAACATCGGCCTTTTCTCTCCCACTTCTCTTTCATCTTGTTTGCAATTTTCGTCCTTGAGCCTTTTTGTGAAATCATCATTGAGCGTGGTGTATTCGTGCATTATTTCACTTTGTTTCGCCATACTGATGATTTTCTAACTCAGCACCAAGAAGTTATTCGTCTTCATCGCCCATGATTTAACTTCGCTTCGTTCCTTCAAACCTTGTTCCCTCTTGATCGATCGCACAAACTTCTTCGTTTATGTAAATAAAAACTAATTCCATTTAATAAATCGTGGTTAATGGCTTATCGTATAAAACCTATTGAACTCAATGCTACAAATACAATGATAGTAAACTAATAAAATAATAGGGAAGAAAAAGACATATAAATTTTAGAAGAAAAATTTTAAGAAACTTTAATAACTAAGGAGTCATAAAATTTAATATATATATATATATATATATATTATTGTTCATAAATAATTTACATAACAGTTAACAAAATATAACAAAATAACGCGTGGAAATTTAATTTGTCGTATTTATCGTGTGATAAAGTGATATACAATGCTAATGCATTCTGTGGCGTTTTTTTTTTAATAGTTGCTATTAAATTGTTATCACACATAAATACAAAATTTTAAAAATGCGACCAATTTTAACGTCTTGTAAATAAAGAAAAACTCTCTCATGAATCAGTTTCTGGAAAATTGCAATGTTAAATTGGTGTTTTCAAGCTTATCTCAGGACTATAAATCTTATTAGTATGTAGGACTCTTATAAGGATGTCTTAGCGCTTATAATTTAGTACGGACAGATGTCAGCTAGGAAGCTTTCTTTGAAAATCTTAGTCAATAGGTTAAGTAAAATTTTAACAAAAGAAAAAATTTTTAATTAATACAAATTATGCAGCGTTAAAGAATGAAAGTACTTTTTAACCTTTAAAAATAATACAAGGTATAATTGAAGACGTGAATAAATATTAGAAAGAAGCTTGGATTTTATTAATGGATATTTCTAAAGCTTATGATTCAGCGAGTACAACAATGTTAGAAAAGGTATGAAAAGAATAAGATTACCGGAAAGTTTCATTAACTTAGTGATGGATATAAATTTAAATAGATTTAACAAGTAATAGTAAATAATAATAGTATGACGGAAGAGTATTATGTGCAAGATAGAATAGATCAAGGAGAAGTTTGGTCGCCAATTTTATGGAGGAGTTTTTATGATGCTCTTTTAGCAAGGTTAGAAGAAGTAAAAGAAGAAGTAAGTTATGAAATTAAAGAAGAAAGAGATTTAGATTTTAATGAAGAAACGAAAGAAAATTTATCGATTTCTTTTAATGTAATAGCTTTTATGGACAATAGATATTAGTATTATTATTTGACAAAGATCCAGTATACTGTCTGATATTAGTAACAGAAGTGCAGCACTCGCTAATAACAAAAAAGGTAATTTACCATGAAGTTGCCGTTACTATTTGTAAATTTCATATACAGTAATTTTAGAATTACTTATTTAAGTTAAAAAATTCAGAAATCACTATTATTATCAGTAATAGCTTACATTCAATGATAAGTCATGATCATGTATTTCGTTTTTTTAACACTAACAATTCTATTTTGAAGCTTTAAACACAACAAACAAATTTTTATTTAAGTGTGTCCAAATTACTTTCTTTAACATTTGTAAAATAATAAATAATGCATAATTTCCATCTTATATTTGTAAAAGTTTGCATATACCAATCATTGAATATGTTGTTGTCTGTTGTATATTTAGTTGATAAATATAAAATTTTTTTTAATTCCATTCAAAATCTTTATAATGATTTTTATAAACCTCAAATCTCTTAATTATTCCATTTGTTTTATATTCTTGCATTAAATCTTCTGATTCTTGTTTTACTTTATTGACTAAAGAAAAAGTATTGATAATTAGCAACATAGGATTTTTATCTTTCCAATTATCAAAAAAGAATTTTAAATCTTCTAACTTAAATTTCTTGTTAAAATAAAAATAAAACTTAAACAAATTAATTGATGATGATTTAGTCAAAATTTCAAATAATTCCTTCCATCCAAAAGTATCGTTATTCACTCTAATATTTAATTCATTCAAAAATTGACTATTAGTTAATAAAATTTCAAATGCTTTGATAAATAATGAATCAATATTATCAAGCAATACTAGTTTAAGATATCTAAGATTTGGACAATTGTGATAAATTATTTGAATAAGCATTCTACTATTGAGAGAATCATAACATATACTTATCTCAGAAAGATTTCCTTTAGTGCTTTTAATTAAATTTTCTATATATTTATATGGAATTGCTTTAGCTTTTAAAATTTTTAAAAGAGGTAAAGATACTTCCTCTAACTGGCTCCAATCTGCTTTACGAGTATCTTTTAAATCTATACTCACTAAATTTACGAGATATGAAAGAATACTTGTATTAGGCTTCCAATTTATTCTCAAATATTTGATGGTATCTGCATGCTTTATCAATGATTCTTCAAAGGTTTTGTTATAATCATCACAACCAATTAGAGGTCTTCTAATATCAACATCATTTAGGTTTTCTTGTACTTCAATTAGTCTAATAATTCCGTAATATGAGTTATAAAAGCTACATAAACTATCAATTCTTAATTTTTTAATTGATTTGCAAATTGTAGCTAATCCTTCTAAAATATCTATTCTCATGTCAACATTAACATGCAAAGATTCAAGTTCTGAAAGGCAACATTCGGCACCCGGAATAAGATGTAGTCGACAATCATGACAATCAAAACCATAGCCTATAGTAAGATGACTAATTTTTGTATTCTTATTAATAAATAACTTTATTATCTCATTGAATTTATCTGTTGAAAATTTTGAAAATATGTTAGTTATATAAGTTATATCCAAATATTTCCAGAAATGAATGTAATTATAAAAAGGTCGTTGATATGTTTTTTCAAAAAATTCGGAATCAAGAAATTTTAAAATATCCGTTGGTATATGTGAAAGTATTACATTTGATAGTATATTCTTTGAATGTTTTTTAATTAAATATTGTCCAGGGTTTCTCCACAAAATTGGTATCGCTGTTGCACACCAAGCTTTATTAACTAAAATACATGAATAGAGAGATTTATTATCACTTTCTAATTCTCCGAATACTAAAAAAAGCACGTCTACGTTTAGAGATGACATTTCTTAGTTTAAGAGGCTTTTTGGAAGAGTTAATTTATTTAAAAAAAACCTTATCGAAGCAGATGGTTTTTTCCCTAATGAAAAAGATAAAACGCTATCATTTTATATTAGTCAAACTACGAAAAATGCACCCTTAATTTATGCTTTAAAGTATTGGTTAGGTTTTGGTAAAGTACGATGGCAGCATTCGGAGAAAATGGTTCATTTTTTGCTCATGATGAGTCATGTTTGTTTATATTAACTCAGAGATTGTTTCAATTTACATATAAAACCATACATTTTGCTATTCATACTAGGACCCCAAACAATACTGATATAGGTAAGGTCCAGAAAAAAAAATTTTACTATTAGCTGTACGCAGCACTTTTGACTATGATCAGTACGCATTTATAGCTCCTAACCCCTGAAATTTTTACAAAATACGCATTTTAATCCTCTAACTTCAAGTCAGTTTTTAAAATTTTAATTGGCTCTTTTATTAGTTGTATCAAATTGTTCTCTGTCTTCGTCTGCTTTACATCCTGAACATGCTACATGTCTATTTAAATAATCTTCTTCATACCTGTGGTTTAATTTAATTCCTTTCCCACATATACATACTACTTTTTTTGCATTAACAATATGAGTAACGTATTTATGTTAGCCAATCACTCTTTACCATATTTCCAATGAAACTTTATGTATGCAATACAGAAAAGATTTTTTTCGAAAAAAAAAAAAAAATTTATTTTAAGATGATCGTTAAATAAAATTAATTATTATTACTTATTTCCAAAAATATACCAAAAAAACATCTTACCATCCTAAAATCCAATCAAAATTACGCAAAATCAAATTCTAACCTTATCAAAATTTTTTGATGATTGTACGCATTCCCAAATTCTAACATATTGAGAGCTACTAAGATGACGACGCATCTTCAGCTCCTACCTATATTAGTATTGTTCGGGGTCCTTTCATACTGACCAACTTTACTGTCAAGGCCAATTTTTTTGACATGACTTTACGATCATTATACCATCCATGTAATCAATGTTATCATGTATGTTAATGTAATAATCGATAATTGTCAAGTATTATGCAATGATTAAAATTCATTATATTTCAAATTTACAAATATGAATAATACAATATATTATATTAACTATTATTTTATTTACATACACTAGTTGAAATATACCTTGGTGGTGTATTATTTTTTTGTTTCACATAGGTAAAAGGTTTTAGCTCTATGGTCCGTTTTTCTTTATTATTCTTTATTTATTATTTATGGGTTCGTTATGACATGTAGCAGGTAATGGCTTCGTCGTATAGAACGAAGGTGATGTAAAGCGGGAGGTGCGTGGTATTCACCAAACGCAATGGTTTATTTTTTGTTTGTTTACTGTTTAATAAAATCTTTTTAATAAAAACGAATAATTTAACTTTGTATTATCTTTAGATATAAAAACAAAATATCAAATATTTAATTATGCTTACCTCCTGTTGCGTTATCCCATTCTCCATTATTGAACTTGTGGCTTTGATATACCAAATTTTTTAGCAAGATCTTCCTGATTATATGATGGATTATCCCTTTTCCACTCGCATAATTCTTTTTTTTTTCTGCAAAAGTTAAACTTTTTCTTTTACTGGTTCCTTCCGCTACTTTTCTTTTAGCTAGCAAAAAATTTTTGATTTCTCTAATTTACAAAAAAAAAAATCTTGCCCAATCGGAACCAAGAAAATCAAACATGACTGAGTGGGTAGTCTGAACTGTTTAACAAAGTAAATACTGAAGTGCTTGTCTGTATGTTCTCTGTCATACGAATAATAAAGATATTCCTTTTACCCCCAAAAAAAATAAAAATAAAAATAAAAAATTATAAGCATTATTAATAAAAGTGTAAAATTAAGGACAAGTAAAACCACAACACTTATTTGTAATTCAAATTTCTATATATACTAGGAAAATTTAGCTTTGTTTAATTAGTAAATGTTAAATCATTAGCATCAGTAGTACTATAAAGTTAGTTAGTAAATAAGCATTATAAAAAAAAAATAAAATTAGTATTAGCATTACGAAACAAGCATTACAAAAAATTAGTGTTACAAAAGTAAATAAAATTAGTAGTTAACTGTCAGTATTACAAAATTAGAATTAGTAAATTAGCATTAGTATCACAATAAAATTATAAGAAGTAAATAAAATTAGTAGTTAGCATTACAATAAGAGTTAAAGTTAAAACAATGTACTAGTAGCACTAAATAATTGTAACATTTCGGATTTTCCTATAATGCCATACATAATCAACGGATCAATCCGGATCGAAGCACTAGTTTATACATATATTTTATCACATCCTTATTTCACTTTATTCACAAAGTGATCATAGTATACAATAAACAGCAATCATTTTTTTTTTGAGAACTGAAATCTAGTTTTATGTATTATTTTAATTAAATTTATTAAATTCTTATACCACTTTAATAGGACCCAGGGATTCCTTAATGTACAGTGGGGGTATACGATATTAATGTACGAACTGGCCAGAATTAACGTTAACGCTATCACGTGCAAGTGCATAACTCCTAAACTCGGGCCAGTTTGTACGTTAATATTGTACACCCTTACTGTACGTTAAGGATGCCCCGAGCAATATCTACGCGTCTCTTCGGGGCCAATATTACATAATTCCGCCTAGCATTATCAAAAAAGGAAGGATCTACACGTTATTTCTGTATTGTTATTGCTTATATTGGATAACACGGATCTATAACAATCGAAAAGTAAATTATGTTCTTCGATTTTCTCTCTAACGGTAACATTACTATAGTTCTGGTCGGCATTACCAATCACGTGCACTTGAGTCACGAATGCGAGTCCATGGAAGATACATGTATTAACCTACTATTATAAAAATTCACAAGATCGCCGATCATGTACTATATCACTCCAATACATTTTACAACAAAAAAAACAAGAATGTGTCATAATAATAATTTATGTAAAGTTGGCGGTAGCATGGGTGAAAGCTTCTGGCAAGGCTGGGTTCGTCTTTCTGGGTAGCTTATTATGGTAAATAGGGTTCTTTTTAGTTTGTAATTTTTTGTATCAATAGTTTTACTTTATTACTTTAATAAATTGGCTTACAAGCTTAGCGTAAAAAAAAAAAATTTACACAAACGTAAACTATTTTAATAAGGTAAATTTAATATATTTAGGCACGTTGTTATTTTTCAAAGTAATTATCAATTCCTTCTCTCGATTTAACCATTTTTTTGTTATCTTTATATGAATGTTTAGCTGGTATAACTGTTTCCTGCCAGGTAATTTGGAGCTTACTATTATCGCCATGCTATAGGCTCGTAAAAAGTTGATGCTCAGCGTGGATTTTTATTTTCTTTTCGTCTATTCTGTCGTAATTATGAATGAAGTTGGGCTATTAATAGTTATGTTTAATATCGATTTTTTATTTTATTCCATTTTTTTTCTTATTTTTTTTTTTAGGCATCAACACATTTTGATGGAAGATATCGAGAATTATTTAACATTAATAATTATTATTTTGTAAGTTATTTTCGTTTATCAAGTCTCATTTATTTATTGGCTTTAACGTTTCAAAATGAATTATAATTAATTATAGATTTTCAGGCAGTTCATCGAACAATTTTCAAAGGTAGTTAGACTTATAACTCGAACAATAACGTAATCAATATCTTTTTTCTTCTTTTTAGTTGATAATCGGATTCGTAAACTTACCAGTAATTAACAAATTAATATTTGATTTTTTTTTAGATGCCGAAAGTATCTAGACGTGATAAACCAGTAAATTTATTGGACTTTTGGATAATTTTGTGATTACAATATCTACGAGGAATTTTTGAGCTGAATATGAATTGAAATTTAGAATACTTGAAAAGAATTAATGATACTGGTAAATATTTTTTTGAAATTTGTCAGTGATCATTTTTTAGGTTAAAAAATTTTTATCGGCGGATTATTGATCATAGATTCTAATAACCACATCAAGCTCTAGCTCGAATCAGTTTGTGATATTCAAAAGGAGAACATCAAGAAGCTATTGATGCAGTTTAAGTTGTTAATGTCCGGGGTTATTCGAGAAATGCAAGTCTCATCGTATTTGTATTTAAGATGAGCTTTGTTAGAGAATGAGAAGGAGTAGAATAGGTTTTACATATTCGATATTCAAACTTCTGAGACCGTCAAATTTAAATGTGTAGCAGCAACACATGTAAGTTAACTATATTATTATTGTTTGTTAAAAAAGGGTGGAGGGTAAGAAAACATTAAAAAAGAAGAAAGAAGGATCAACCGCGAGAGAGATTCTTTATAAAATCAATGTGGTATTATTCTTTAAGATATAAGATTGTTTATTTATGATATTGATATATACTTTTTATCCCTTTACTTTATTATTTAGATTCCAAAAAATACTTTATTCTCTTGCGTTAATGAAGCTGAAATTATTCATTAATTCCTTTGAGCAATGTGGGATGTATTAGCAACACCAAATGTAATCTTGCAGGAAACACTTCAAATAATTAAGATCCTGATGGAAAATTATATGAGAATTCGATCAAGAAGATATTGAAAATGTACGAAGGAACAAGTGAAATGCGCAAAAACTTAATCAACTTAATCAATGTTACGTAACACATACTGTAACTGTGTGACAAGAATTTGACCATTGACTTGTCAAATATTTCTAACTTGTGTTTAAATGTACGTTTGATGCAGAAGCCGAACGCAAAAATTTAACGAGATCGGAATTGGATAGAATTTTTAACCTAAGGTATATTTATTTTGCGATTGATATTATTGAATCAATATTATTTACCATAATCTAACTGTTATTCGTGAATTGAATAGGTTTATATCAAGCTTTTATATCAAATAATAACGCTTTAATGAGAATACATCTTAAAGTAATAGTGATATGAAAGAAAAAACAACTCATTCCTTGGAATTTTGATCAAACCATTTATTTAAACTTACAATCAAAATCAGAACGTTTGGAAAACTTGAAACTTTATAAATCGGTTAGTTTCTTTGTAATGAATTATAACATATATTATTCTTGAACATTGCTTTGAAACGAAGCAGTAAAATTAATCATTAATATTTTTTTAAGATACTTTTACTAGTATTTCAGATCGATCTTAAGGTTTAATTATCGACCTTGTGAATTTGACGAAAACCTTTGAGGAACTTATCTAATATTTGTATTTATTTTTTTGAATTTATTAATAATATGTTTACGATCTTAATCTTAACCTAATTCGACCTTGTAGTTTTGATGAAAACCTTGGAGGAGTTTATCTAATATTTGTAAACATTTTAATAATTTTATTATTCGGTTTACCATTTTGCCCTTAATTGTAGAGATAAATTGAAAAAATTGATTACATATCCCAAATAATGACATATTTTAGAAAGATTATTTAGCATCATGTATAAAACATATTGGAGATTGAGGGAGTTTGAACTTGGTTTTGATTGAAACCTAATTGGAGTAATAAAGAATTTTTATTTCTTTAGAAAACCATTGTATTAATATTTAGTGTATCAATAAAGTCGTAAATTTAATTAACGTTAATATTTGCAATGAATACTTAATGTTGTATGATGAAAATTATAATTTTTTTCACGTAAGAAGAATAATAATAATTATGCAGATTTCAAACCTCGTATCGACTCATTGATGAAGTTCTTCCATAATGAAGTCGTCTTCTTGAAAATGATGCAAAAACAAACTCAGTTTTAGAAAAAATTCTTATTAGATTAACCTATTTATCGTCATGATGTATGAAATTACCGGACGAGCAATCAACCAGGAATAATAAAACATATTATATTGATTATAAATAAGAAATATTCTTTAAATGAATATATATAACTAACTCACAATGGTAATAATTTATAATCGCGTTTTAATTGCTACGATACAACATTTTCTATGATACATAGTTTCGTACGTGCTTTTTTCCGATCCTTACTTTTGAATATGATCTCAGAATATCAACTATTCAATTTAGATGATTTTATTCACTGGAAATGTTAGTGAACCAGTAGTTTTTAAACCGTATCACGACCTCCTCCATGGTATATTAAATAAACTAAAACGTTATAGTGAGTGTAATAACTTTATTTAATAACAAGATTGAATATGAATTGAATACAAAAAAAATACAGTATACAAAATTTCTATAACTAAGAAAAAAAAAATAATAAAATTCTTATTAAATAAAATCTACAATACAATAAACATACATAATAAAAAAACAAATAATAAAAAAAGTATATATATATATATAAAACATATTCCTTTTTTTTTTTACAAAGAAAATAAAAAAATAATTATTAATAATTTAACTTCCCATTAAATAAGCGACAGATTTCTTCTGAATCCATTCAAATTCTTCAAAAATGGCTTCATTTAAATCAGTATCATATTTTTTAATTATTCCTTTCATTTTATATATTTTAATTAAATCTTCTGTTTGCTTCTGCAATTGTAATTGTAACTCTGCTTCTATATTTGTATAATATTTATCAATTGGAATTGTTTGTAATAATATAGGATGTCTACCTTTCCAATTATCAAAAAGTAATTTTAAAGATTCTAATAATTTAAGTGACCAAATAGAAGAGAATTTAAATCTAAACAAACCAATTGGTGAAGATTTAGCCAAAATCTCAAATAAATCATTCCAATCAGGTTCATTCAATTCATCAGTAAAAATAACCAACCCACTCAAATATTGACATTTAGTTAATAATTCTTCTAATTCTAAAATATTATTATTATTAAATAATAATTTTAAATATATAAGATTAGGACAATTTTGATAAATTGCTTGAATAAGTCTTCTATTATCATCACCTTCATAAAGTATACTAATTTCAGTAAGATGACCTTTTGTGTTTTCAATTAAACTTGTTAAAATTTTAGATGGAACCAATTGAGCTCTTAAAATTTTTAAAAAAGGTAAAGATACTCTTTCTAAATTACTCCAATTTGTCACGATTGATAAACTAACGCTTATATCTAAACTTATTAAATTTACAAGATGTGAAAGAATTTTTGTAGTAGGATTCCAACCAATTCTTAAATATTTGATGGTATCTGCATTCTTAATTAAAGTTTCTTCTAAAGTTTTACGATATGATTCATTTCTCTTATTAGTAAAACAGACAAAATATACTTCATTTAAATTCTTTTGAGCTTCAATTAATTTAACGATTCCAGAATTATCACTATTATCATATTGCATAATATAAAATTTCAATTTTCTAATAGATTTACAAATTCTAGCCAATCCTTTTAAAATATTTTGATTGGTTTTATCATCACAATGAAGACATTCAAGTTTTGAAAAACACTGTTCAGAGCCTGAAATACTGTGTAATTGATAATAAAAATGTTCTGGAATATCAATATAAACAAATTTTGTATTTGCATTAACAAATAAATTTAATACTTCTTTTCTTATAATAGCTATATCAGATTTATTAATATCCCTTTTAGAAACGATCATACTTTCTAAAAGAAATAAATCTAAATATCTCCAGAAACTAATATAATTAAATAAAGGTCGTTTATATTCTTCAGAAAAAATATCAATTCCTTGATTCTTTAAAATATCTTTTGATTCTTCTGGTAAATGTGAAAGTATTACATCAAATAACATAAATTTTGCATTTTCGGTTAACGTATATCTTCCAAGAATTTTCCATAATATTGGTACAGTCATTTCACACCAAATTCTATTAACCAAAAGGCATGAATAAAGGGATTTTCTATCATCTTTCAATTCATCTATTATTAAGAAAAGTATATCTTTGTTGATTCCCAACATTTTTTTTTTTTTTTTTTTTAAAAAAAAAAAAAAAAAATAAATAAAAAAAAAAAAAAAAAGACCGAAGAAAAATTTTAACTTTGTTTTACATATTTAATGCGGGCGGCGTATTCGTGTAACAAACATCACGTATCATCATCGTGAAAACATAATGAACATACATGATGCATGAAGATCAGTATGAAATAATTAGACTATGTTACAAAAAAACTGTAAAATTATTTCTTAAGAGAAATCACATGTTTAAATTTAATTTAATTTAATGTAGTTATTAAATTAAATTTAATTTATTCGCAGTTAATTTAAAAATAAAATAATTTATCGCAGTTTACCATTTATCGGATTTCGGGATTGTGTTATATTTTGTTATACTAAAATTTTTAATATCCAATAACTTTCCGTTTATCATCTGATAATTATTCAATAATTGCTCAGGAATCCGGACGAAATCGTCCACTTAATTTTTTTTTTTTCGTCATGTAATTTGGTAATTTTCGGTAAATTTGCGTGGGTAGCACAATTCTAAAAACGGCGATAACATCCGGTACACATCCCTGATTTACACAATATTTTAACTTAAAATGGAAAAGCTTAAGTTAGATACTTTAGTAAATAATATAAATTTTACATTATATATTCTGAAAATCATTTTCGGATAAAAAATTTTTTTTTTCACACGAAATGATTAAATGATTACGTTATATTTTTTATGTAACAAATTAAACGGTAAATGTACTAACCAAAATTTTTTTTTTTATTATTTATTAATATTTTTAAGTTTATTGTTGACTAAAAATGTTCTTATTATAAATGAATATTACGAAAATCTGGAATCTAGTATTTATTACTTTACAGTAAAACAAAACAAAATAAAATAAAATAAAAATAAAAAAAACATTAATGTGATTATTTATTCAAATTTATAGTGTATATTAGAACCCGACTCGATCACAGGTAACCCGGGTCTAATATAAAATTTTTAATTAAAAAATACAATAAAAATATTCGGGTCTCAGGGTCATGATCCGACTCGACGGTTTTATCAAGTTCATGTGGGTCACGGGTCGTCTGATTAGAAATTCGGGTCAATTAACCCAGGTCAACTCAGGCATAATAAACATTAATTAAATCATGTAAGAATTAATAAATGTATTTGAAATTTACATGCGTCATATAATATGCATATAATTTTTGGACATTCTTTACTTTATTATTTGATAATTATATTTGCTTCATTTATTCTTAATAGGGATGGTCACGATATGTTTTCGGTTCTGCGTTTCTTATAAAATAAATGCATAAAGTTAAAGATAGAATGTGTGATGCTGATCGGTTAAATAAAATTTTTTTTGTCAAACAAACTCGATGATGATTCTTTCTAATTTAAACCGGTTCCAAGCTTCAAATCTGTTCCAGAATTGGAACAGACCATACCTTATAATTCATTAAATTTAGCATCAATAATGTTTACTAACATAGCACAAACTCAATCCAGTTTGGAATGACCCAAATCGAACGAGGTTAAGGCGTTCGCTTAAAATTAGTTTAAAATACAGTTTCGGTCGTAAAATTTATTCAGTTGGATTTGGGATATGGTCGGGTTTGGGTTATAATACCTACAAAAACTAAAATTCACATATTATTGGATGATTGGTGATATCGATGTTTTAACGGAACTTTAATAAAGTCCCAGCGAATTGATGTTAGAATACCGCTTCTTAATTTGGTCACAACTTCATTACTATCCCGAATAGATTATTGCTTATTACATCAAATTGAGCAATGGAATACTCATTTAAAAAGCAGTAGAAAAATGTAATTTCATACTCAAAATGGCTACCGCTACGATTAAATCTATTTATAAAGTTGTTAATTTTTTCTTGAAACAAAATTTTAGGGAACTGGAAATATTTTGCATTTCTATAAGCAATTTATCTCCCTCTTACAAAAAACGAAAAAATGTCTAAATGTTACACTAAAGTTATCCTTAAAAAAATACTGCTAGTCAAAATGATTGATTATTTCACAGAATACGCATATTTTTGAGTAACTAAATAATTTTATAGACTATTCGAGAGCTTTTTATTATGGTGAAGATATAAAATAGCAACTTCCTATGATGTTTGAGGTGGTATGAAAATTTTTCTTTCAATAATAAGATTTTCTCGTTCATTTTTAAGCTCAGACTTCGAATCCTAATGAGAATTTTGGATTGCCTTTGAAGCAATATATTAAGAAAATGGTAATACAAAAAAGAGGAAAAAAATGTAATGAGCCATTTCTCAATTTATTTAATTTATTTAGGAAGGAATAAAATAATTTTTTGAAAATATAATAGTTATTGTTAGCGAAGTTATTAATGCAAATAAATCAAATTGAAGCATGTGTTGATAGATGAAGGTTAAATCAAATATTAATTAAATAATAATAAAATTTGTGTATTTTTGGACTCCAAAAATTCCACAACTTTATAATAAAGTTTATGTGTTATATTAAAAAAATTGACCGACACTATCTTCGCCGGAGTCTGTACGTACAATTTCTCCAAAAAAAGATATAATGCGAAATCATTGCATTAGATAATAACTTCCCACTTTATAATTATAGTTCCCAATAATCAATTTTACTTCACATCATGCTGACAGACAGTGGTTTTGCTGAGGGCAAAAGTTATTTTCCTAAATTTATAACCAAACGTCCAATGATTTCCTAATAGTCCTAATTTTGCCAAAAAAAAAGCAGTTCTACGCATATTCAAAAAAAGAAAAACTATAATTAATATGATTATATGTCCTGATTTGACGTGACTATATTATTGTAGTCGAAAGTAATTTCAAGTTTACTACGTTAATTGAAAAAATTTTATTTTAACATTTAACATTTTGTAAGAAGTAAAGAATTTATTTTTTCCAACGATGTATACGGTTGCACTTTATATATTTTTAACATTATATGTTTATCGTAATATTTGAAATAATAACGATAATAATAATAAAAAAAAAGAATTATTTTCCCAATGAAACTTTATGTTATACAATAAATTATCATGTTTCAATATCAAACTTTATTTAATTAAAGTAAATTTTACGTTAATATATACATAGGAATAATATTCTTATTCATGATTTCTCATAAAAATAATTTATTTTAGGATTAAAGAAATAACCATCTACTTCTAGTATTAGAATGAACAGAACATTTTTTAATTATTCCCTTTACCTTATATTTTTCGATTAAATCTTCTAATTGCTTCTTATCACCAAATTCATTACAATAATTATCACTATCTATTTCCAATAACATAGGATTCCTATTTGTCCAATTATCAAAAAATAATATTATATCTTCCAAATTAATCCTCCCAGAATGAAATTCAAACGTAAATAAACTAGTTGGTGATGATTTAGCTAATATTAATAATAATTTATCCCAATTAAACATAATATCAAAATCTACCACATCAATAATTAATTTATTTAAAAGTTGACAACTAATTAATAAATTTTCAAATTCTGAAGTAAGTAAATTAGTATTATTAGATAATGATAAGTTAAGATATTTAAGATTTGAACAATTTTGACAAATTGCTTTAAAAAGATTTTTACTATCAGCATCATTATAAAGTACACTAATTTCTGTTAGTTGTCCTTTTGTAATTTCAATTAAATTTGCTGTAATTTTGATTGGAACTTGTCGAGTTATTAGAATTTTTAAATTAGGTAATGATAAATCCTTTAAATAATCTAATTCATTCCAGTTTGTAGGATAAGGTAAACATGTACTTATTTCTAATCGAAATAAGTTTACAAGGTATGAAAGAATTCTTGTAATAGGTATCCAATCCATTCTCAAATATTGAATAGTATCTACATGTTTAATTAAAGATTCTTCAAGAGATTTGTAAATTGATTCATCTTCTATTATGTTTATTATAGCGCGTGAACCTTTATAAGGACCAATGAAACTAACATTATTTAATTTCTTTTGTACTTCAATTAATTTATTGATTCCAGAATTATTGGTACAGAAATGCACATTATCAACTCTAAATTTTCTAATCGATTTACATATTCTAGCCAATCCATTCAAAATATTTTGACAATTTCCAAAATCACAACAAAAAGACAAGGATTCAAGTTCCGAGAAACAACGTTCAGCTCCTGGAATATGATGTAATTGAAAATCATAATCTTGTGGAATAGAAAGATGAATAAACTTCACATTACTACTAAAAAATAATTTTAATATCTCGTCTCTTATATCAAACTTTTTAGACTCCTCAATCTTACTTGAAGAAATTATATTTTCTATAAGAAATAAATCTAAATATTTCCAGAAATTAATATAATTAAATAAAGGTCGTTGATATATTTCTGTAATAAGATTATTAATTTCTTGTTTCTTTAAAATATCTTTTGATTCTTTTGATAAATGTAAAAATATTACATTAAATAATATAAGATATTGACTAGGAATTTTCCATAAAATAGGTACTGATGTACAAGAATTAATGGTCGTAAGATATTGACCAGGATTTCTCCATAAAATAGGTACCACTGTTTCACACCAAGTTCTATTAACGTAAAGACATGAATAAAGTGATTTTTTATCAAATTTTAATTCTTCAAATATTAGGAAAAGTACGTCTTTGTTGAGTTTTGACATTTTTTTTTTAAAAAAAATAATTCCCGCATTTCCTTTGTTTATATTCCATGACGGGATAGAGCCTGTCTCTTATACACATCTAGATGTGTATAAGAGACAGGGATAGAGCTGTGTAACAAATATTACGTTTAGAATTCATGAACGGAAAAAATTCTTGAATATAATTGGACATTATATATAAAGATCATTGATATGATTGACATCATATTTTCTATATAAAGTAAAGTTAAGGATTAGTGTACAAATCATAATTTAAGCCGGCGCCTTTATTATTTTCCGGAGATGATATTGCATTAAAAATAAAAAGAATTGAAATCATTCGATGAATATATCCAATAAATGATTTTTCTATCACTCATTTGTATTACTTTTTAATATAATAAATAAATTTTTCAAAAATTTAAAGTCAGGACTTATAAATGATTTTGTATGAACCGATTTTCTCATTACCTTAATTTTAATATGACATATATTTATCGCATCGGTATTATGTATACACCAATGAATTTTTATCAACTTCTCCACCGGTATAAAAAAAGTATAAAAAAGTATAAAATCCATCGGTGTATACATAATACACAATGAGATAAGCCTGTTATTCCATGAAACTCCCTCCCTCAGGGGGACCCCAAGACTCCGGTGAATATTTTAGTTATTCATTGATGATGTAACAGTGAGGGTGTACGATATTAACGTACGAACTGGCCAGAATTAACGTTAACGCTATCGCGTGTAAGTGCATAACTCCCAAACTCGGGCTAGTTCGTACGTTAATATCGTACACCCCACTGTAAGTTAAGGACGCCCATGGTATTTATTTCACGGAGTCACTGGAATATCATGATATCACGGCTGCGCCGTGAAAACCATTGATATCCACAGTTCCCGTGAAATAACTATTACTTAACCCATACGGCCATACTATGCCTTTATTAATTTTATGTTAATTTCATGCTATAAATTTTGGTCTGAAATTAATTGTGAATTAGAATATTTAACCATTATCAGTTAAATGATTAGGAATTTTGCTTTTTTTAATAAAATAATTTTTACAAGCATATTAAAATAAATTATCATAAATAAAAAAAAAAATTTTTAATAGACTGGAATTTTATAGAATTTACTCATATGTAATGAAATGATATTTGTTTTATCGATTACTTGATATCATAACGACTTATTATCATATGGACGGAGGATTCGCCATATCGAATTCTGCCTATTCTAGCTGCTGCTATTATACCGGACAAAAAAAAATTCTTAGATCCTCGTAACATCAATTTTTATGCATATATAATTCTTTTTTTTTATTGTGCAGTATATCACATTATATATATAATTAGTAATGATTATGTAGGATAAATTTTTAATAAAGTTGTTTATGTGATCGTCCTATGGAAATCATTTTTCCAGTGTGAAAAAGTGCCAGAAAATGTATGTGATGAATCGATAAAATCAAGGATATTATTATTGTCGTGATGTTATATGCAACAACTTCTGGCAAAAAGAAACGAACAAAAAAAAAAAATACTATATTTCAATCCACGAAATTATTGTATAAATGTACTAGTACTTAATAAAACAATATATTGCTTATGTGAGTCATGTAAAATTCGTTAAAAAAAAAAAAAATTTAATATGAAAAAAAATTCACAGATTTTCGAAAAATTGATACAGGCGAATTAAAAAATTTTCCCCAGACTTATATTATCACGTTATTATAGCATTTGTACCAGATCAGTTTTATGATAACTTGTTTTAACTAACATATTACATATAATGTATAATTTATTTTAAGGATTATCAAATAATGAATGGGACGCATTCACCTCACATACAACTTCTTCACCGACAAACGTTTAATCGAAAAACGTTTCATCATCTCACCGACAGTTCATATTTTAGTTTCGAATATCAAAATATAAAGTCTTTTTTTTAAAAAATATATGTATATATATAATTATACTATATAATTTATCTTTTGTATAAAAATAAAATAATTTTTTCTCTTTTTAATATTGACCTAATTTTTAATATGTACTGTACGTAGACTCAAGTTTCTTTATCATTCACCAGTTTTATTATTTTAGCTGTGATGAACAAAAAATAAAAAGTTATAAAGGTATCGAAACTAAAATAAACCGGAAAAAATGAAATGTCGAAGAGAACTTTTTGTCGATGAAACATTTTCGGAAAAGTGATTGTCTGTCAGTGAAATTAACCAGACTCTAAATGAATTAGTTAAAAGTTATATTCATATCAAATTAAAAAATATAAATCAGATTATTGTCATTTGCGAATTATTAAATAATTTTTTTCCCATTCATAAAAAAATCTTCGCTTTTTGTTAGTACTTTAAAAAAATAATTCTCATTGGTTAAAAATATTTTTAACAAAGAACATAATAATGTTTAATTAAAATTTAAAATTTGCAAAATGAAAGTATCAAATAAAAGTAATAATAAAAGTTATTTCCTTTAATTAAACTGTTTATGTCTCAATTTTAACATATATTCCGAAAAAATTTCTAAAATAAAACCGTGTATAATTGTTACAACAAAATTATTATCTTATGCATTAAAGATTTTTTTTTTTTAATTCCATTCAAAATCTACAAAAAGACCACTAATTAAGTATTCTTCAATTATCTCTTTCACTTTATATTCTTCGAATAAATCTACTAATTCTTGTTCATACAATTTTTTTTCTTTTTGCAAAATTTAATTTTTTTTATCATTTATGCAGTGGAAATACCATTATAATTGTCAGAAAAAATCATTTTCAAAATTTATTCAATTCTTTGGATTTACCCAAGATCCAAATAATTTAAATTATATAATAGTTATGAGTTATGCAAAAAAAGGAAATTTAAGAAAATGTTTATCTGATATAATTAAATTTGAATGGCAAGAAAAGTTACAATTATTGAAAAAAATTGTATTAGGACTTAAAGTAATTCATGAATCAAATTTAACTCATGGTGATTTTCATGATGGTAATATTTTAATATCAGATAATTACAATGAGTTATTTATTATTGATTTAGGATTATGTAAACCTATAAATGATTTACAAGATTCTGATAATAAAACTAATGAAATTTATGGAGTTTTACCTTATATGGCACCTGAAATATTAAGACCAGAACCCTATACACCAGCAGGTGATATTTATAGTTTTTCAATGATAATGTGGGAATTTACATCAGGTATTCCTCCATTTAATCGTATATCACATGATCATCTCCTTATTTTGAGTTTCTGTGCAGGGAAACGCCCTGAAATTGTTGAAAATACTCCAAAATGTTATATAGATTTTAATGAAAAAATGTTGGGATTCAGATCCTTCCAATAGACCAACCATAATAACGCTTGAATGTATTATATCTGAATGGATTAGATGTATTAGTGATTATTATGAAATAAACAGGGATGGAAATTATGAATATGAAGTAACTAATATTGATAATCAATTAAGTTGGAGTTTGTAGAAGCAAACAAAGCTTTAGTACAAGGACAAGCAAGTGCTTCTATTATACAATATCATTCACAAGTATATTATACAAGTCGTAGATTTACTGGAATTTCAGTTCAAGAAGAGTCACAGGGCTTTGATTGTAAGATTGAAGATTAATAATTCTATTATTTATTATAAAGAAAACATTATTATTATGTATTTTTGCAGTTTTTACAATAAAGTAACAAGTATGATAATTATTGAAACGATGTTTATTTATATTTTTATTTGCGTTTGCAATTTGTTATTAGTATTATTGCATATCTTAGAGTAATACTATAATTATTATTTCTTGTAGATTGCATTATACATAATAAATATAACTGAAATAATTAATAATTTATATGCAAACAAGATAAATATTGTCAACTAAAAACTAGGAATATGGCCTAAATAATTTAAAAGTCAGTCAAATTTCTTTGATACTTTGAATATTGCTTCAATTTTGTAAATATGACCAGCTGTTAGATTGAGGTGACATATGTATTATTACACATTTAACAATGAAAAAAGTTATTAAGTATGATATTATGACCTTTAATCCATCTAGAACAATAAATTATTTCGTAGCATAATAAAAAATTTGGTTTTCTTATTCTTATCAATAATTTATTTGTTTCTTTTTATTAACAGTTTTTGATTACTAATTTCTTTTTTTTTTTGGAAAAAAGAACCTATATTTTCGGGCATAATTGATGATCAATTAATTGTGTAACTTTTATTTTATTTTTATTTTCATTTTTCATTAAACGAGAATTTGAAAATCCAGAAATGATACAATTTTGAAGAGAAAAGGTACATAACTATACTACAAAATAATACATTACAGACAACTACAACAACGGAAATAATTAAATCAGTGATAACTCCCCTCCAATGCAGCACCTCTACCTGGCTAAGATTTGAATATCCTAGACTTGCCAACCTTGTTTTTCACCTGCACAACCCTCCTTACAAATTCTCTATTTCTCCTACTGAATAAAATGAGAAAAAAGTATTATATAACATTATAGAAATCTAATATATTCCCTCAAAAATATATATTATTCCTAATACCTTCTTCACCTGAAATCTTATTTAATGAATGAATATCTATTTTTAATATTTTATTTTTCGCTATATTATATGAATTTTCTAACACCTTAACGATTCTACAACTCGGAATCCAAATTAAATTTAAGAAAAATAAAATTACGATATTCAAATAAAATAACAACTACTTTTTGATGACTCGATGCGATGTTACACTAAGCACCTTTTTTTCGATACTTATTTTTAATAATAATTTTTTTATCTAATTATTTTTTGCTAATTTAGTTTTTTCATTCTTTCACCCCTTAGATTTGGATTTTTTTCCTAATTATTTTTTATTTTGTGCACCTTTTAGCGTTAGGTTTTGATCGAAGTCAATAGTGCTGTGATATACACAGTGAAATTCGATAAACCGGATCTATCGGTTCCACTAAAAATATCCGGTTTATCGG